GCCAAAAGATGAAATGACGGTGGTCGGTTTATTCAACAGGGCTTGTGCTTCGCCAAGACATCCAAAGATGAGGGCATTGTCATCTGCATACTCCAGCAACAATTTGAACACCGGGATTTTGAATACTTTCCAGGGTTTACTTTGTTAGTTAATGAATGATGAAGTTGAACAAGAATGGGGAGAGTGGAAATCCTTGTCTGACACCACTTTTTGTAGGGAAGCTTTTGGAGAGCTCACCATACATCCTCACCCGCCCAGAAGTATGTGAATATAGGGATCGGATTATGTTTACAAACTTCGTAGTTAACAGAACTGATCGATCAACAGAATCGAACGCACCCTTGAAGTCAAGGAATACCAGGATTGTGGGTCGTCTGTACATGTGGCGTTGCTCTAACACCTGACGGGGTGTGAAGATGTGGTCAACGCCGCCTCTACCCGGTCGAAATCCCGCTTGGTTCTCACGAGTCAAGACTTCGCGTGTCGCCATAAGACGACGAAGAATCAATGACGCCAGAAGCCTTGTCACAACAGGCGTCAAACTAACACCTCTGTGGTTGCTACATTCACTGAGAGTACCCTTTTTGAAAATGGGTACCACTATCGATTCACCCCAGTTGTCTGGGACGGTCTCCTTCTCCCAGATAAACCCAAATAGGCTAGACAGGCACTGGCTGAGAAATCCACCGCCATCCTTGAAAAGAGCAGGCAGAAGGTTGTCAGGACCAGCAGCAAGGTGACGCTTCAGTAGAGAAATGCATTCGGACACTTCTGAGACTGAAGGCGGCTCCATATTTACGGTCCACCTTTCTGTTGAAGGCCCGGTTTCTGGATTGGGGGGTAGCAGGTGGCCAGCTGAATTGCCGTTCGAAGTACTGTGCCCAGCGGTCCCAACGTTCTGCTTTGCTGCATATCAGGGAGCCATTTTGGTCCCTGATTGTTTCACTGACAAGGGGGTTTCGAGGACCAGTCGAACGAATCAAGTGGAACAGCTTGCGCATGTTTCCAGCATTCTTCGCATCTTCCATTTCTTCGAGCTTTCGGGTCCACCAAGCTTCTCGGTCTGCGCGGACACTCAGTTTCACCTGGCATCGGATGATGCGCCGGGTGGAGTTGTGGTGGCGACCAGGTGGGATCCGTCGCCGGGTGTTCAGCAAAGACACGGTCCTATCAGAGATTTAATGCTTGGATGGGGGAATATGCACGCAAAATCGTTATCGTTTTTGGAAGGGAAGTGAATGCGCTGGTGTTTTTGGATGAACTGACTAAAGTCATCCAATCATCCAATCCTTCGGCGTGCACTTTATAGCCACATAATGTAAAGTCAAGTTCTTCTGTATGGAGTCACTGAACACGTCACTTATAATACACAGTGCATTACTCTATTTAGTGGACCGTTTCATATATCTTTGAGGTTGTATTATATCTGATTTTAGGTGGCAGATGAGGTCGACGGACGAATCTGCAAGGCTCAGGTTGCTTTTCGCTAATTTGAGACAGCTATGGCGTCAAAGCGGTATATCCCTGAATCTCAAGGAACGTGTGTATCAGGCTACATTGCCAGCTGTTTTGTTGCACGCCTGTGAGATTTGGCCTACCATTGCATTTTGATGAAATATTTCTAGTCTTCCATTGAGAGGTTTTCCCTTATCGCATGGGTTTTGTACTTCCAGCATATTCCACCCATACAACACATTTGGGGTGGCATCACTACTAGTTTGGGACGGTTGTGATTTCAGGTGAATATGCACGCTTAATTCGCTGTTGGCTTCTGGGTGAATAAACTACAACAGCATTCCTGTCCCCCTCCTACAAAGGGGCCAAATTCCAGTCCATCTTTTTGTCTCTGTTGCCTATCCCATTGAATTTGTTTGACCTATCAATTGTTGATTTAGTCTAAAATGTATTCACTGTTTCCACTCTTCTATCCACAGAATAATTGGTCTCCTGCATTGACCATAAGCAAGGTGCTTCTGTCAATCTGCTCACTTCTGACCGATTGCAACCCGGCCGATCCATTAGTCGGCTCAATAGCTCATCAGTACATACACAATCGAAGCGAGCACGACCGGATAGCCCGACAGTGGACACAGAAATATGCTAATTCCCCAGTGTACCCCGCATCGCGACCTTCCGTTGCTGGTGACAATTCCGTTCGCAACTGTGGCGGCGGATCATCTGGCACTCGTTCGCAGTATTCTTCATCGGCGCACTCCAACGACTCCTCTGCAGAGGTGACACTGTCCATTTCTAGTCGAGATGAAACTAATAGTTTGTTGAGTGGCAACTCTAGCGCCGCAGCCAGTAGTGACGCTCGTAGTGACGAAGACGAGAGCACAGAGGAGATTCTAGGCGAGGATGACCAACGGAGCGCTGCGTCTTCTGAGGCCATGCCAACCACACAAGCCAGCTAAATCTCCTCTTTTCAACTATCTCTCCTCTCTGTGTTTCAGCATTGGAATTCCACAGCATTTCCTTGTTATCAAACAAACAAATGTGTAGTTGCGTTTCGTTCTTCTATGGATCTGCGGTGTATGTGTTCTGACGCACCGGAATGACTTCATTCACTCTCCTCCTGTTGTGCCAATCCCTAGGTTGTTTTGCCGAAGGGCGTGCTACTAGTACACATAGCAACAGTAGTATTCAACGCGCCGTCGCCCATTGCAGCTGCTGGAGGCTAACCGAAACTTCTTTGAGCCAATATCTTGCTTCACAGGCAGTTGTTCTGTATAATTTGTCAGTTTAAGTTTGATTCTTTTGTTTATTTCGTTCACCCCGCTTCTAGTGGTGTCTAGTATTCCGCACTTCACTCAGGTTGATTATCACTGATATTACTAACTGGAGATGTCCACCACAGGGTGTGTATGTGCGCTCTGAAGGCATCAACACTATCCAACCTTGTGGTGTAATGTATCTTTGTGTGTTTGTGAATATTGCCCTGTAAATTCATTATTGATTCATGGTTTGGTTAATCTCTGCATCTGTCATTATGTCCGTTTAACCAAATCTGTACTGATATTGTATTCCGTTATAGGTGTTTGCTATCCTGTGTTTGTTGTCCTCTGATCTTACCAGGTTCCTCTGCCCAGGCAAGGATGACTAAGTGAAAGGGCGGAGCTATAAGTTGTCGCAGTTGGGCTGCTATGTCATATTCTCTATTTACTCTGCTTCATTTCTGGTCAGTCTCTTGAAGTGACTGCCCTCAAGGCACAGAATTTACTTGTGTGTAGCTGGTCTTTCACTTTGATTCTCGCTCCGTCAGAGAAGACGTTGCGTCCTGGAACACGTAGTCGCTGTCGACCACCTTTTTGGCGTGCATTGACTCACTTTAGAAGCCCTCTCTGCTTGTTCTCTCCAGCGAAGTCACCAGTTCAGGCTGCGAAACACGTCATTGTTATCTTCGTTCAGAGTTCTCCTATGTACGTTTCTCGTCCTACTTTTCAACTGGGTCATTCCAATAAAATATGGTACTTTCTTATAGGCAACCTTTCTCAAGGAACACCTCGAAAAAAGGAGTCATTGTAGCTATTCGCAATTTTTCCACATCATTGTAAGAAATCTTCATCTAAATGCGTGTGGAAGGCGATAAAAAATTTCGCTATTCAGTTTTCTCACAACATGAATCCTTTGTGCCAGCAAAAACACTTCGCAGAAACAAAGTCAAATCACAGATGGATGAATCGAAATGGATGGGTTAAGTCTAGACAGGACACGACGAGTGATCATCATTTCGTGGCTTGATGCAGCTGGCACCGATTGTTAATCCTGTACTACGATATTGTGTTGGTGCCTCCGATGGCTAGCCACGATCTGTTTGTTTTATGCCGAAAAGATAGTGATTGCGCGTCTGAGCAAAACATTGGGGTGTGATCGAAGGGCTGATTATGCGTACGTTTTAAGTCACTGTTGGGTGCAATGCCTACTTCAAAACGGGGAACAAGAAACAGTAGAACAAAGACTCATTGCCGATGGAAGATGATTATCGCAGAGAAATGTCTTCTCCGAGACCAATTATTGGTCTAACGAAATGAACTGTTTTTCTTGGGATAGCTTATGGCCGTGACTGTGTCTACAGTTTCTGGGTAACATCATCATGGTTACAAAGTGAATATCCCAGTCTTGTATCGACGTGATAGGTGACTTGTACGGCTCCTGAAAACTGTTCGATAGCCCACGACTGGTTTCACCCTTCTTTGGTACTCATCAAGTGGCGCAGTCTCCGAGTTTCCATCAATCTTAAGTTCTGCTTGAACCCAAGTTACGCTAAATTAGCCAACTGCACTCACTTGTATACAATTTGATTTTTAGTGGACGACAGCTTAATCTCTCATTTATGGTTTACTTCAACTGAATGTGCCGCACCAGGACGCCTTATGTTTCAGTTGCTACGCTACGTCAGCGTCCCCATACATTGTACAGACGTAATGCACTACTGTTAAGTTTGCAGCACATTCAGGTTCAGCTTGGTATGCTAATTAGTGTAGTTCGATAATTTCGTGCAATTTGGGTTCAAGTAGAACTTAGGTTCATGGTTCATGCCTGCCTGGTAAGCCCCAAGAAGGGCGAAACCGGTCGTGGGCTGTAGAACAGTTTTCAGCAACCTTACGAAGAGTGTGTTACGTTTATACAATGTGTTGCGATACTGTCGTATCGTAACAACTGAAACATGAGGTGGCCTGGTGAGACATTCAGTTGAAGAAGAATGTCATCAACGAGAGATTCAGTTGGGTCTTTGGTCAAAACTAAATTAGTAAGCAGGTGAGTGTATTTCGCTAATTCTCATGGCCTTGTTTTATTCTGGTTATTGATTTTTATTCCTAACCTCCAGCTAAGTATGGTTCATCCGCAGTGGTTACCCTCATGAAGAGAGAAACAGCGGTTGTGGCCCAGCGGAGTTCTCTGTCTCATCCTTCCAAGCTAGCGCCTTCAGCAGAACGACCGTCAAAGGTATACGTAATGTACTGAACGCCCAAAGGCAACCCGTCCACAGCACTACTTATTTATAGTGTTTGTTAACGTGACATTCTGGAGATTCGAGTTTCTTCTGAACGTGCCGCTGGCAAATGGCGCCCAACGAGACTGGACTATTATTGGGTCCATATTTACTACCAATGAAAACTCGCCTTGATATCGAACCGGCCAGCGGACCGATCCTTTGACTAGTCACGTGCCAGTTAGGCTTATGGGCTGTTGCAGCGTCTAGTTCAGAGCAATAAGGTTTGGGCATAAGATTCCGTCCAAGAAAGGGAGTACTGTGCAGTGACGTTAGCAGTACCGGTAAACTCGGCCATTCCGTAAAGCTGAACGCTATAATGGGTGACGTAATCTGGCACTTGTTCATAAGTTACACTGTATCAAAAGGTAGCATTCTTTCTTTCAAATGAGGAACAACTTGACGGTTATAAGGAGACAGACATCCTGATGACATCGACCGAAACTGGTCACTTCAGGGATGTGTTTGCCCTAGGGGATTTTCATTGGTATAAAGGAACTAGTTTTCTGTCACGTACAAGTACCCTTCAGGTGGTTAGTTTGTTTAAAGTAAGTTCCGCCATCGCAGAGCCAGTAAAACAGCGTCCTACCGAGCTACAATAGAATCCCACTGCAAAAGAGTCATCAGTAACAGAAAATTAGTTTCAACGGGCTGTACTTCAACTGTACTTGTTGCTCATCACCACAAGCCTAGATCAATGGTGGAAACTCGCGGGAGTTATCCTAATCCGGCTCTAGTATGAGTGACCTTCATTTAGCCCGGTTAACGATTTTGAAACAAGCATGAAGAACAAGCTATATCATAATAAAATATTTCAGCACCTGCCATTCTCAAAACGAATATGAGTGCACATTTTGGCAACAATTGAAGCACGTTGGGATAGCCAAAGCAGCATACTGCATCTGTGTAAGGACAGGAAGATGGACGTTACGGGTGTGAGCAGCTACAGTCAAGCTGGGTACCATGGAATTTTGGCATCTCCTTGGTTGGAGTCCATGCGACTCCTTGAACTTCACAGTATGTGGAATTTAACCTATCCTAGTGGCGTTCATGTTTCCAGTTGCTAGCCACAGTACCTGGCTAGAGTTTGTCTATCCCTGGGCTCTTTTTGGTTGATGTTCGCAATGGGGGTTGGTTCAATGCCATCTATAGTGCCTCACACCGGTATGGAGCTGGGATGTTTATCTCGGTGCTTTTCCAAAGTGTTTTTGAGCGCGCACTCTTTCTGTGAAGATATGGAGTTTCCAACCAATTCTTCGTCCTTTGTCTCTAACTTTCATACTGGGATATTCCCTCTTCAAGGCTGTGTGCCAGTTAAGTAGTTACTGTTGATATTGGAAAACAAATGATTAAGGGGTTGAATTATGAAAGCAATTGATCAGACCAACTAGTAGGAAGTCTCAAGAGATTACCTTACCTTCCGTGAGATTTGAGATGGAGGGGTGATAGGGGGTTCCTTTCAACATTGGCTCCGTTTTCTGTGCCCAATGGCCACAGCCTGTGTCCAATAAAGGGTGCCACCGTTCGTCAAGAAATGTACGACCTCTGTTCACTAAAGAGCTAATGGCACATAGGGGGACTCGAAGACATCTGGTCGCCAATATACTTGTTTATTTTTCTGAAGGTCTGCAACCCTGACAAGCTAGGCTTGTACTTTTAAAATGTGGGTACCTGACTCATTGCAAAGTATGTTCACCATTGACTTCGGTTGGTCTTTCCGGTCCAGGTTACTGTGCGTTTTCGTTGTAGCGCCTGACTGTACCAAATTCTCATACGCTTTATCGGACCAGAACATCTAGTCTTCACCGAATAAAGTCAGTTGTGACGCTAGTCAAGATTTTCGGTATCTAAACTCAGTTTCTATCACTGCCCGAATAACCAATGCCCATATTTTTATGGACAGCAACACAGGTGGACATATTCCGCCTTATACCATATCAACCGTGTTCAAACTAAATCACACGCGGTGTGGCGAGATATCGCCTAAAGAAGCCTTCAGTGAGCTAGTAAACTGAGTCGGACAGGCAGATGCGTCTTCAAATCCTCGTAAAAACATGCTGTTCGTGATTTTGTATGCACACCAGTGGTGACGCCGAATAGATACTTCTTCCTCTGGCAGCTGATAGCAGTAAATTTATCAAGCATTTCAGTACAACTGATGTGAAGGTGTTTTTATAGTTTTCTGGGGAGCATTTTTCAGCAGCTCTACGTGACCGTTTTGGCCAATATTCCGAAACGCCTGTAAACTGTTGCCTGTTCACACGCTCCGTGTAGCACATTTAGGTCGGTGACTCATACTGAAGAAATTTAAACAACGTGGGGATCCAGCACCGAGTGTCTATAGCGATAGGATTTAAATAGAATATCGGCAACCTTATTATCAGTGTGGTATATCAACTGAATGGCATGTTCCACTCTATCATCTTTGGAATACGTGATTTAGCGTGCCATACTTTATTTTCTCCTGAAAATCTGCGATATACCACTTGCACATAATATCCACTTTTTGTATTGTATACTAGGTGAATTTGCATGTTTATCCAGCTGCCTTCATCGATTTGAATGATCCTGTCGACCATGTGTGATTATCAGTCATCATCGTTGTCAGCTCTAATAACCGCGTACGGCTATTTCGTACCGTATTTCTTCTTGCGAAAGGCGATCAAGGTTTACATTCCATTCGTCCGTATGCATTATCTCCACCGGCTGTGTTGCAGGAGGCCAGCTGAACTGCTTTTCGAAGTGTTTGGCCCATCTTTCCAGTCGACGTTTTTTGTGAGTGAATTAATGAGCCATCTTTTTCCCTTATCGTTTCGCTGACCATTGCTCTCCTAGGGCCAGTCGATCATATGTGATAGTCATCATAATCCCATCTACCTACTCCCGTAGTTCTGAGCGTACTTCATCCACACATTTTCAGATTGAACGTTAACTCCTTTCCCGTAGGAAACAATTCATCTGCCGACATTCCATTAACTTGTGAGAGCAGATTTATTTGTCGTTGAAGTTCCAAACGTTTCCCGTACGTGGTGAACTTGAACTTGCTGGGTGCCGGTGTTCTGTTTTGTGTGCTGCAGTAGCAATATTTAACGGATCAGGATTGCCTGACTCATTGCTGAATGATGGAGCTCTTCTGAGATATCTATTCTGTTTCGTACCCTAAGCACTGGAGAATAGGTTCCATTTAGTGAT